AAATTGATATAAATATCCTGAGAGTATTTTGTACTTTATAAGATAAAAATAAATTTAATGATTTTATCTTTTCATTTTATTTAAAATACAGTTTATTCTGTCAATATGTGGAAATTCAGCATATCATTCTAGTCATAAAAGTCGTAACTTTTTGCACTTTTAAAGGTTCGACGAACGCTTTTATATTTAAATATTATTCAAGAGCCGCGAAAGCGCCTTCGTAACCTAAACGAACGTGAGATGCATTCATAACGAATGAATTACAGATTCCAATTAACACCTTAACACTAAGGAGATAAAGTCTAGAATCCTGTATAAGAGTGCTTGGATCTATGCTCCCCCGTCACAATATAGAAATTGTAATTTTGACACCTTTGTTACTCTATCGGACTTTACATTTTCTTATATTTCAAGCTAAACAAAAACATTAACATGAGAGAATAGCCTTTTCAAATATGTATATAATCAAACGTAGCTAGGACGCACGATAAAACAGAGGTTCTTTATGTCGGCATAATTACAAGTTCCTAGATTACGAATGGCGTGATTGTTTATACTCTATGTCTTATAACAGAATCGATTCCAGCATCGCTTCGTTATTTCGCATCGATTTGTAAGCGGGTTGCAAACGATCTCAAAGCGAGATAGCCGACTCGCATGAGCAGGCTCTAGCTTGCATTCCTATAGAAATTGCCCGCAGCGACCGGCGCCGTTGTCGATAATTACGCACCGTCTAGAACACACATTAACGGAGATAATTCAGCCAGAGCAATTAAAGGGATGAGACTCCCAACTATGCTGTTAATACAGACCTGATCGAATATAACTGACACTGGAATTGCAGCGGATCTTTTGAGAACAGAAATACTAATAGACATGTAATTATTTCGAGAGCTCTTTTTACAATCACCACGTTAATTAATCTTACGCGATGTATCTACTTAATGTTAGAATACTATTTCACTATTTACAAAAACTGGTAATTTAATTAAAGGTATATTTTTATTCCATGTAAGGATACACATAAAAGGAGATCTGATATTTAATGTGATTTAAAATAGACGTCAACGAGGTAATTAAAAGAAGATTATCATCGTCTGTCCAAAGCAATTCGCAAAGTGTTCTTTGAAACTCGCGTTAAGCAGAAATAAAGTCAGCACAGTAATAAAGCCAAGCTATAAAATCAATTTACAAACAATCCCGAACTGCCTTTTATGATGTAGACGAGGGTGGATTACAAAAAAATAATTTGCACCATTAAATAAAACTGGACTAAGCCAATAAAACAAAACTAGTTCTATAAATTATGATGAGTTGCAATTAAAATCTAGAAATGGAATGTAAAGAAGGTCACTACGCAACCTTGCGTTTCCGCTATTCGCAAGCGGCTTTCGGACTAACAAACGGACCCGGCGCGAGCCACACTTGATTAGCGCAATAAACTATTAGATAAAACGGGCTCCGACAGCGTGTGAACGCAAAGAGAAAGCCACGAGCCTCTGTTGCAACCTCAGCCGGCTATAACTCTGTGCCTCTGCCGGTTCTGGCGTGTATTTAGCGGCCATATTTGATTACACACTAAACACGTGGCTTACTTAATCTGTGATGAGTTACGATAAAACTGACAGGTTATAGTAAAAAAAACAGTTAATTTAAGTATTAAAATACAAGATTATTTCAAAATTCTCGTAGAGTCTCCAAATGTCCATTAAACGCCAATAACCTAATGGTTTGGGGTACGGACTACCGATCTTGAGGTCGAGGGTTTGTATACCGCCATTTGACTATTGTCGTGAACCATATCCTAGCACAAGCCTCGAGCTTAGTTAAAGAAAATAATAGTAAATTAACAAAAATCTACTAACATTTTAAAAAATAAATTAAAAACCATGGAAAGTATGTTAAATCACACATTTATTAAACGCGAACATTCTACAAATGTTTTGCAAATTAATTTGAAAAAAGAAAGTCTTGTTTGAAATTCTTTCTCGGTTTTAGTTCTTTTTATTCGGAATCTATTGCTGAAATAAATTTACATTTAAATGGAAGCATTCACATGCATGCATTAAAAGATTTGCAAACTTTGACTGTAAGAAAATTACATTCTCTCAGAGCAGAAACTATTTCACGCTATCTCACTACTGATCTAAATTGAATCCGTAATCCGATGATTTGTTGCGAAGAGATGACGACGTGGAATTCTGGAAATTGGTTGACTCCAGATCTAGTAACGTTGCAAAGAATACTTTCGAGTTACAAGGATTAATTTGATATTTCATTTTATATCAATCACTTCTTTGATTTTCAATTGGATTACATTGCTATTGGATTGTTCAACTTGATTTTAAAAAATAGGATCATAGTTCAAGTCTATAAAATGTTTAATTAGTTATCTAGCTATTGTTTCTTTATGTAGACACTAGCTGTTCCCGTGCGGCTTCATCCGCATGAAATTGTTAAAACTTTATTTTATTAAATTCTCAATTACAAATGTCAAAATACCAATTACCTTACTATGGCAATCTTGCTTTTTTGATGTTGGCAACAGCTTATGGTCTCTTTCCCACATTAGGGTTTTTAACCTATTTACCCCTAAGTTTAATAGCATGAAAATATATAACCTAAAGTGTGACGTAAGTGTAGAGGTTTTTATTATAATTATAATTAAAATAACTTTAAAAAAATTTACACATATATTTAAAACATTACGCAATTTTCTCGTAAATTATAATTTTTAATCGCTTTCAGTATAATTTGCTAACCTATTAGACTTTGCTGTATGTAGAACATGTAATAATTCAGATGTCGGTCTCAAAGCTCCTTTACATAAACTTTACTTTTATTACTTTTATTAAAAATATAATTCAAAAATATGCTGTGATTGCTGACATCTTAAGCCACAAAGAAGTGTGTGTTTACCATTTATTACATGAGCATAGATTTGAACATTTTTGGTAGTTTGCCAATATATGCACATTATAATGGTCAACACTATCCCTTTGTTGAATCCTTTGTTACGAAGTAATGAACGCTTTGAAGCTTCAAAGACTTGTACACGTGTCGGAATAAACGATCACTTTGATGCAACTAAACCAAAGCGCAAATCAATTTACAAATTATGTTTAAATCCGTGAAGCCACGCGCTCACCAAATGCACCGTGAACGCAACAAAAAGAACAACCAAAGGAAAACAAACAAACGAGACACGGCTGACCGCGCATAATAATAAATCTCTAAAAACTAAAGAATACCGAGAGGATAAGAAGCACTTTACTTTATCTTATAATGTTTTAACCTATACTTACACATCCTTCGCTCATTAGTATATCTATCCTTGTCTACCCTCGCTCCGTGCTCCTCCTGCCCGCCTCCGGAGGGCCATTTATCAATTCCAAATAACGTCGGGACCTTTTCTCTCTTGTGTTTATTTATTTTTTACTTACTTCGATCCTTTGGTGCGCCGTCCGTGCCGGGGGTTTTAACTCGAAATTGATTGTAAGGCTGACTTAATGACGGCCAGCCATTGCATCGTATGATGCTTCGATAACGCTAATTATACAACTAATGAGTAAACATTTGAAGGAATTTGAGAATAAAGCGCTTCAATAAAGGACTAACCACTACATCAATTCTATCTTTAATATTCTCTCAATTATGGCCGACAGAAAAGCATGAAGTGTAACAATCAATAAAGTTTCTGGTTAAGTAATTTTCTAAAACAGACTTTTTTAATTATTGAATTTTTGCTTGGTTATCTTGCCCTCCTACGGTATATTGTAAGAGAATTCCAATCTTTATTACGCAAATTTTCTTCTTACTTAATAGTTTCTCGTTGCAAATTAAACTTTAAAATTCGTCCGATTCCTTTGGACAATTATAATTGCCTGTCGATCGACGACTCACTCGACGGGTCGGAAATTGGCCATGATTAGGGAGATCTCAGTCGGGAGAGGTATTTTAAAGATTCCGTGCGCCGAGGGGGTCCGAATTGAGGTTCCCCGTGAGCAAACAAAGCGGCGTCCATCTGAAATTAATTTCGTTTTGTTTTCGTCTGGGACCGGCGCGGGCGCATTTACATTGAATGCGCCCGGTTGCCGGACGATATTTATGTAGGGGCCCGTACTGTATGACGTGGGTATTATTCATACAAGACGCTTCGGCCAGCTGTATATTATTTCTGCCGGTTCATCGGCTTCTCGATAGGTCACTTCGAGTTTTAATCTACGTTGTCTTAAAATCGTTTCTACTTCAACTTTTATTTAGTTGAAACCGGAATTGCTCAAGTCATAGGAACATATACTAATTTACTGTTTAAATTAGTTTAACTGAGGTTAATAATAATGGTAGTAGAAATTTTTCTAACCTATTATAGACAGAAATATGAGGTCAAATTATTAAAGCTCGTGTTCCCAATTGCCACTCGTTGCCAGCCGTCAGTTTCTTGCACAGGATGTTTGTGCGTGCGGGTTTAATTCGTATTTGACTCGGTCGTGGGCGTTTATAGTCTAGGTGTACTTAAGTTTATAAGCGTTCTAGGTCTAAACACGTGGCGGTTTGAGCGCTATCAAATTTTACTGCGCCGTCGGGCGCCAGCCTCCTGCAATGACAATTTCCTGCGAAACTTGCCGGAGACAATAAATTTTATTCGTCCGTTTAACTGCAGTAAGTAAATCTCGCGGGTTTGCAACGTCGTTAAACGTTCAGATGCGTAATTGTAAAACGATTTGCTTTTATTCTGATGTTAGACTTTACGTGATATTTTATTGTTTAGAGATTGTTAGTCTTGCTGTAGTCGTTTCAATACAGCGAGCTTAACTTGGGCGTTACCATGAAAACGAAAATCATAGTTTTATTAATGAACTAAACGTAAACTTATAAAAAGATTTTAAATCGGTAGTCATAATTAAGTAGTGACTTAAATGACGGGAACCCATATGTAAAGCGATCTGAAATCGCATCGACAATCGTCTTATCTCTAACTATATTTCTTTTGTTTACAGATACTATGTCCGGCGATGTAGAGGGCGTACGGTGCTACTGCAACACGGCGCAGTGCGTTGGCACCGCGTACATGTGCCGGGCTCGTCGCGGCGGCGGTTGTTACAGCGATTTGCCCGCGCCTCGCCCGCATCACGCCAGGCACGGTTGTTTGCACCATCTCGCAGACACGTGAGTATCTAATCATCATTAGATTATACTAAGACCCACACTCCAGTCCAGCGCTTTTTCACGACCTCAAAGCTACACAAGAAGACCAAACTAACACTGTTTATGTAGATCTTTTTGAATGTGGAAGAGACGATGGAACTCTGAGTCTATTTTTCATTCTTCTTTCTCGAGCTCTTCAGATTGCAAATTAGCAAAATACCAAAGCATTTCACATACAAATTGCACGCCAACAAAAAAACCTATTCGAATGAAGTCAATTAACATTCAAGGAGCGTCGGAGTCATCTGCGCTCGTAAACTAAACTATTTAGTCAGAATTTGGTCCATTTAAAAGTCTAAAGGTTGTTATAAAATGTGTAGTCTTTTTGTACGCTCTCAAAAACAAGGAACGAGAATTCGAAGCTACAACATACCTTTGAATTCTCGACTCCCTTATTACCGATTAGCACTAATTAATGTAGGTATTACAAAAAGGATGCCTTCTAAGGAAACGCTTTTGAAGTTTCACATAAAAATCATCTATTAACATTAAATTGGGGCACAACTGATTTTAATTTGTAATTCAATGTTTTTTACTTTAAAGCAATAATATCAATACAATTCCAAGCTTAATGTTTGATGATATTTCAAACAGAAGAATCGAGTAATTGAACATTTGGTTAACAGTAAAGATTGTTTTCTATAGGTTTAAACAATTAATATAATTGTAACTAGCGATATTAATTTAAACCCTCCACTAGAAAACTCGCAAGGAATGCGCGCGAATATCAATCTTTCTAATGACATTGACAGCTGTCAGTTAGAGATGTGACGTTTATGCCGATAAACTAGTGTTGCGCGAATTCTACAGCGCGGTACTAATTTTCTATCTTCACAATAGCTAACGAATAAATCTTACTAATATTATAAATGTGAAAGTTTAGATGGATGGATGGATGTTTGTTAGACTTTGTAGCCTAAACGGCTGAACGGATCACAATGAAATTTGGCATAGATGTAGAGGATAGTCTGGAAAAACACATAGGCTTATTTTATACTTTTTTAATTCCACGCGAACGGAGTCGCGGGCGGAAGCTAGTATTTCATAAAACGAGATACTAAAACAAGTATAAAAATCAAAATAACATTTACTTAGTTCATTAGAAAACACGAAGGTACTTGAAAAGACCATTTGTAAGCGTCAACAAACGACTTACAAATTCATGCTTTTTTATATTACTGATATAATATTTAAAAGAGAACAAAGTTATCAACAATACGTAGAACAATAAAACCTCGTGGCATTGTTCTTGAGCTAAAAATATAATCGGAACAATAAATCCATCGCACTTACATCGTGTTTGCGTGTTAACTGAAACAAAAACAATTCGTCGAAATATATTTCATTCAGCACAAAACAAAGCATATATTACAACTGGATCTTCAGTATCGTAAATTTAATTAAACATAATATCTGGAAAATATCATTCTTAAATACATCAAAATACTTATTATTTTTAGGTCATCTTTACTAATATTATAAATAGGAATGATTTGTATTTTTGTATGTAAATCTACCCAGTAGTTTTTGAGTTATTTATTGAAATAACTCAAAAACTACGAAGTCGATTTCATTCTTACACCAATTAAAAGCTAGGCTATCAGTGAGTAACATAGGCCATGTTTTTTTTAATTATAAACTGACGAAGACGCCAACATATACAATATTCTTAGTAATAGATTACTTCACATTTAAATATTTTATACTAGCTGTTGCCCGCGACTCCGTCCGCGTGGAATTAAAAAAACCAAAGTGGGTAGCCTATGTGTTCTTCCAGACTGTCCTCTACATCTATACCAAATTTCATCGAAATCCGTTCAGCCGTTTAGGCTACAGACTCTAACAAACATCCATCCATCCACCTAAACTTTCGCATTTATAATATTAGTATGATTAGTATGATTGTGCTCTAATTATTGCAGACTTATATATCAGTCTTTAAGGAAAATCGTTAAAAAACCTTACAATTTTACATTTTCTTCTTTACTTTCTCTCCATCACTGTTCATCATGAATCGTCGCAAAAAGTTACCATACCTCTCTCTCTTTAATAACGAAAATGCAATTAATTTTCAATGCCCAAATGTATTTCAATTTAGGACCATCTCCCTTAACGTGGAACGTCTATACTTAATTGCATTGCATGGAGTGGGTTTTTAAATCAGTATCGAAATTACTCGGCTCTTGATTATAACATTCTGGTCCGAGGAACCGGTCCGCGGTTCTTTATTTACTTTGTGTTTTTGCTCGTTTTAGCGCTGGGCCCTTCATTATCTCAGCAAACAATCGGTGCGCTTCGTTAGTATCAGAATTGAAATCGCACGCCCTCTATCGGAGATCATGACAAGCTTAAAAAAGCAATATTCGATCGAATGAAGCTTCCTTTTTAAATGTCACTTAGTTTACACTACACAGCAATGTTTGAAATGTTCTAGACTTTATAAAAATGGCGTCCGCCTTATAACAGCAAGTAACACATTTGTACATCTTCTAGCGTCGATGGGCGTCGGTTTTACGTTAAGCCCGCTGCAGACATTGCATTTAACAGTGGTAGTGCCCGCTTTAACATCTTAGCACGAATGGGCCGGCACGCCCGGTGTAATACCACGACCACACAGAAGTCTGGCGTGAGATGGAAGCAATTCCGTGTTTCGTCTGATAAGTATGGTGCCAGAGGCCTAATTTAAGTCCCTTTCTATTTACCACCCTTTTCTTATAAGGAGAGGATGGGAAAGGGAATGGATTTGACGGTGGAGGAGATGCATAGGAAGGTGCAATATCCTCTTTGTGTGCGTCTCCTCCTCCGCCGGATAAGGGTAGGCAACGCATCTGCGATCGCGGATGTCTATGGGCAGCGGTCGCTTCGCTATTTTGACGGCTTCAGGTGGCCGCTTGCTCGTTTGCCACCTTATGTTATAAAAAAAAAACGTTAGTTCTAACTCACAACTGTGACTGTTCATTTAAAACTTTAAATGAACAGTCGAACTGTGAGTTAGTAAACTCCTGTAGGTGACTAAGTTATAAGATGCTTGTATACCCGCCTTCTCTTATATTAAAATACTAGCTGTTGCCTGCGACTTCTTCCACGAAATATTAAGATAAAAAAAGCCTGTAACATGCTCGTCTATGTCAGCTACCCTTCAGTGAAAGTCCGTTCGAAATCGGCCCAACCGTTTCGGAGATTGCCCGAAAGAAACGCGGCTTGCAGACAGACAGACAAAAAATTTTGGATCTTCCTAAAATTTGGAATTTTTCTTTTGATATTACAGACACTCCAATTTTATTATAAGAATAGAAAACAGATTCAATATCCTGCTTAGAATATGATCTTTGTATTAATTATGATCATACCACTTTGTTTATTTTCCTACTTCAAAGAGAAGGTTCACATTGCACATGACCTACCTCAGATATAAGTACTATTCGATCAATTTATAACAACTTAAATCACAGCCGACTTCATATTTACTATTAATTAATACAGTCTACGTTATTTACTGTCGGAGAAGTGATAGGGGATCTTTGTCCTCATTCGTTCTGATAAGGGTGCTAGGGTTGAGGAGGTCGCGAGATAACCAAGCACGGACGCTGACCCCATTGTGTTCAAACTAAATTCAATCTTATGTCTTAAGGATAAAGTTTATTTTATGTAACAAAGTGATGGTACATCGTCTGACTACACTGATAATGTCATCTTGTGAGATAGCTTCGACCCCTTACGTTTCTATTCTGTGATGATAACAAAGGCCGTTATCAGTGTTATAATTTTAATTGTTTATGCATTATTTATGGAAAATTAGAAACAAAGCGGTTATGTAGTCAAGTAGAATTGTGTTGAAGAATAGGTTCTAGTTTCGTAATCTACATATGTCATACTAATATTATAAATGCGAAAGTTTAGATGGATGGATGTTTGTTATTGTTTGTAGCCTAAATGGCTGAACGGATCTCGATGAAATTTGGCGTAGACGTAGAGGATTGTCTGGAAGAACAGATAGGCTACTTTATTTTGTTTTAATTCCACGCCGATGGAGTCGCGGGCGAAAGCTAGTAAAAAATAAAAATCGGCATAGTTTTCGCGTGAATCATATACTCGTACATGAGTACAAAGATACAAATCTTTCCTCTTTATAATATTAGTATAGATTGCAGTGTCTGCTTGTAATATGAAAAAAAAAATTCCAGATTTCGGGAAGATAATGTAATTGCGTTGCTGATAATGAAAGTAGCATTTAAATTTGTTTGTCTGTCTGTCCGCAAGACGCGTTTTTTTCTGAAGGGTAGCTGACGTAGATGGACATATTATAGGCTACTTTTTATCTTAACATTGCGTGGACGAAGTCGCGGACAACAGCTAGGTATAAATAAAGTACCTGTTTCGGATCAAGATTGTTGAAGAAGCTATAGAAGGAATTAAATCGGATTACCACTGCCAGACACACCTGTACACAGAGTACTGTTTTAGGACAGATGTGTCAGCAGTGAAAAGCCACGATAAAAAATGTATCACTAATTAAAAACAAACACTCCAAATCAATGTTTTCTGTATCCATTCTAAATCCATTTAATCAGAATAAATTTAATTTTATCAAGAAAAGTGCGGGTCTTAATACAATTTATTAACTCGATTACTAATTAATTCCTTTCTAAAGAATTGTTGATTTATTCAAACTTGTATAAAGATTAACTCAGAATGCACATTAGACGTATTAAATTATAATTAAAAGTTAAATTTATTATGTGTTTAAACGTTATCAAGAACACGGCAGTGAATGGTTTTAAATTTCACTGTGATTTCAAAATAAACCACAGAAGCTAGCAAGTAAAGAATCACCTAACATGAAAAAGCAATTTAATCGAGTATTTTTGAATATTCATTTAGTGTTTAAATTGGACGCTAAGTATATTTTAATTGGCTTTATTCATGTTCATCTCATTAATGTACACACTGGATAAGTTATC